AGGGCGGAGCAGACAGGACAGAAGCCCACCAGGGCAGAGCAGAAGACCTCCACGGCGGAGCAGACGGAGCAGGAACCCACCAAGGCAAAGCAGACGGGACAGAAGCCCACCAGGACGGAGCGGGCGGAGCAGACGACCACCAGAGCGGATTAGAAGACCACCAGGCTGGAGCAGGAACCCAAGGCAGGAACTGGGAAAACAGGACTGACAGAAAGTTCAAAATCAGGATCATTAGCGTTATTTAGACAGACAGAAAATTTATTAGTGGCCTCTGGGCTCGTGACTTGGCTAGCAGGGCAGACAGAAGGTTCGTTAACGGCCCACAGGAAAAAAGTTTATAAGCGGCCTACGTAGCCGCGACAGGACAGGAAGAGAGTTCACAGACGGCCTACTTGGCCGTTACAGGACAGGCAGAGAGTTCACAGACGGCCTCCTTGGCCGGAACAGAACAGGCAGAGAGTTCACAGACGGCCTCCATAGCCGTTACAGGACAGGCAGAGAATTCACAGACGGCCTCCATAGCCGTTACAGGACTGGCAGAGGGGTCCCAGATGGCCTCCCTGGCCGGAACAGAACAGGACGAGAGTCTATAAGTGGATGCCACTGACACCTCTGGAGGTTCTGCAGCGGATGCCACCACCTCTAGAGGTTCTACAGCCGTACCATCAGGAAACAGGGAAAGTTCATGAATATTCTCCTTATCAAAACAGGCACAGAGTTCAGCAACGGTTCCTTCGACAGTGATATGACAGGCTGAACGTGTATTGCTGGGTGCCACCACCGCGCAAGGAGCTGAAGCAAGCACCGCCGCCTCGAGAGGTTCTGCAGCGTGGGCCGCCACCTCTGGAGAAGCTGCAGCGGGCGCCATCGCCTCGGGGAACATGGCAGCGTGCACCACTACCTTGGGAAAATCTGCAGCATCAGCCACCACTTCGGGAGACCGCACAGTGGCCGCCACCGTTTCTAAATTTTCAGTGGTGGTGTATGCAGCCCAAATACACCATAAAGCGATCCCCATTTTGGGAAGCGCTACAGACAAGGGAAATAGTTCAGAAACTGGAGGGATTGAGAGCGCTGGTTTAGGGATGCCTGCTGCACGTGCCGACGCCAGCGGTGGGTCCTCCACGTTGGAAGCCAGTCTGGGATACCGAAGGGCTAACCTTGATATTCTGGGTGTAACAGACAGGACGTGACATGACTCTGGATGATCGGCTGGGATGCGACGTGATTCTGGATGATCGGCTGTGATGTGACGTGACTCTGGACGAACAGCTGAGACGTGACGAGGCTCTGGATGAACAGCTGAGACGTGACGAGGCTCTGGCAGATTAGCTGAGACTTGACTTGACTCATGATAATGAACTGTAACTTGACTTGACTCATGACGATCAACTGTGACTAGACCTGACCGTGACTTGACTAGATGCTGTTGTCTGTTGTGTCTTGTGATCAGGCTCTGCTGTCGCCGCCATCTTGTGAGCGTACTCTGGAACAGCCGCCATTCGCCATTTAGACACTGTGTTCTTCCTCCATGACACCCACAGTAAACAAAGAGCCAACAATCAACAAAGTATAATCCATAAACTGAGCGAGTGACGAACATGGACCCTTGCATCTAAGCTTAGACCTAAGAGGTTGATTAATGCCATCACAAAAAAACTCTATCAAAAGACAGTCCGGTAAATCTGAACAGTGCGCGATTGCTAAAAATTCTCTAATATAGTTCTCCAGCGATCGTGGGCCTTGTTTAAGGGCTAATAATATTCTTGCAGTGTCCATACCTGGCCAATGTCCACTTGAACAGCTGCTGGATCCTTGTGGGGCCGAGTATTCTGTAACGGGGCTGACAAGACGTGAGGCATGCAGATCCATGTGCAGGCTTTATTAAGCAGAGAGGTCAGAAACACAGGCAGGGTCGAACAAGGGCAAACAGGAATATGGCGGGCAAGACACAAGAATAATCCTAGGGCTAGCGAAGGTCAACGAACGGCGAACAGAGTCAAAAGGGGCAAGACTAAAGGGGTAAATCCAGGAAAACAGGCGAAGATCAGAAACCGAGAAAACAGGC